TGGAAAGACGGCCCAAAGGAATCTGGAGATGCACCTGTCTGTCCTACCTTGTTCCGGGGTTCTTAACGATGGCGCCATATGTTACTGCGAAAAGGTTGGAGATTATGTAAAGGCTTGTTATGGCATCGCTACAGGAAAATGCAGATATCAGGAAAAAATTCTCAATGGCGTTCAGTTACACTCTAGAAACGAATTTGCCTCTGGTATACGGTAATTTCAACACCTGTTTCCTTACTGTCACTATTCCAGTACTCGTCAATCTGCGGGACGAAGGACTGAAAAGCTGATGAAGGAACGGAAGAGAGCCAGAGGTACGGTATGGCGAGAGATAAAGAAACTGAACTTGATTTGTAGTTTGCCGAACCTACCTTTCAAAGGACCGAGCGGTAGGCGGATAACTTCATGTTTGGATAGTATCAAAGGCGAACTGTTGGATACGCAGATGGGCCGCACATAACGACAAACTGCGAGCCAAAAGTGGCACAGTGATTGGCTTGCAATCATATCCGATATTGCCGAGGACACAATGCAGTGAAAAGTGGTGACAAGAGGCGTGGGGATGACTTAATCCCTTTGTGATAGCCAATAAGTCAGGCAAGTCAAATGCAGTAATGCAGCTTCTAACTCTGTGGTGACGAACAGACAGAAGCCGTCCGCCATTGCCAAGCCTCTCTGGAATATTTCCGTCAGCTGTACTCATGAGAGTTATACATTGACAAAGGAGTATAAATCGTCAGAACCATCAGGTTACATCTGAGAGGTTCTATGAGGCTATGCAATGCGCGAAAGATTGCAGATCCAACTGGTTTTCCATTCAGGTCGGTTTCTCTCTCCAGAGTTAGTTTCCGCAATTGCGATGAATTCGAACCATAATTACGGTGCCAAGGAAGGACCCAAAATTTGACCTGTTTCGCAACCTGCATGGAAAGAATGCTGAGATGCACATAATGAGTGCGTGGTTCGCATTTAGCACGTGGTTTCGACCGCTCTGGAACTCAGAACATTGAATTGCATGATTTTCCCAGAACCGAGACCTTCATGAAAACTACCTAAAGCTGTTGCCATGAACAGAAACGTTCAGCGAGCTCTGAAAATAAAAGAATTAACAAATGTACGACTTATGGAACAAACACATGAACGAACTGCAAAATTAATTATTGAATGAAGAAACGAACCTGAATGGACGAACGAAACAAGCGAATGAGTGGATGAAATAAGGAGACGGGCGATGAAATGCATACATTTTGAACTGTCTTCGCTCCCCCTTCCAAACTAAAAGTAAACTTTTAATCATCAGCTTCTCGCCTTTCACTGCTAAGACTTTTTTCTGATTGAGCGTCTACTTCCCAGTGATTTTCAGAACTCTTTGCCGTAACTCGTACAGATCAAAGACAAAATTGCAATACCTGTCCAACTGCAACCTCTTCCTTCGCAGCTTCATCTTTATCAAAAATTTAAATCATCGAAAATCTATAGTTGATGTTCATTCGTCTTGTTTTCTGATGTCACCCGGAGTCAGTTCAGAAGGTTGATCGCCTGATTACAAGATTTTGCAATGTTTTACTTGGAAACTGATATTAACGGTATCGCAAATTTTGTATTATAGGGAGTGGCTGACCTTCATTTTATCAGTTTTGATTACACTCAAATACACAGTGATGATAATACTGCTTTATCATCAATTAATTGGTTTGAGTAGTATATTCTTTTGCACGCTTACCTGGGCTTGATTAGCGTTCCTTGCTGCTCAACTTGAATGTTTTGGATGGCGTTGTGAATCTGCTTGTTCTATGTGGCAGTTTCATGAGATTTGGTCTTTGAATGGTAGTTTTGGTAGGCAGTTCGTAACGGATGTGATTTAATTGCTTACTCACTCTGGCTGAGTGAACTCTTTTTCATTGAGTGGCCGCGCAGGTCCACGACAAATGGTCGCAGGCCATCAGCGTTTTGATTAGTGCCCTTCTGATTAAAACCATGTTCAGACTATATGCTACATGAAGAATTGTCGCTGAGTACCATTTGTAGAATAAGAGTGACTTCAATCAGGCAGCACCCAGATTAATCTTATGAGGGCAACTGCAATAATCATCGAACCTGTTAACCTGTTGGTGCTGGCACAAGCGGCAGTGTGACTCTACACTGCTCTCACAACGTGCATAAATACATCATCATCGTATCAACATTCGGACGTATCCTTCCTGTCGCATGAGTTTCATGTTTCCCCAACAAGCGCTGCAGGTGGTTGAGGGTGTAAAGCGGCGATGGCTGGCCCCTGACGGCGAAGCGGGAGAATTTGATGAGATAGTGTTTTCGTTGAGGCGACAAACAAGCAGCCTGCGTATAGCGACCTTTCCATTAATGAGATTTGCTATGATTTTCTTCGATCTTACTCTTCACTTGGATTTGACTAATTACTAGCGGCGAAAGCTTGGCATTTTCCTGTTGCCAATACCCGTAATTACGCTGGCCTCGCCAAGCGACAAGGTCTCGTCGAAGGCGTGGCTACGTAGCTGACTCGTGGCAGAGCATGTGAAAAATGAGTGACGAGTGACAAGGTGTGTCTGTGTTATTTGATTAGCTTCCGTCGGATAAATGATGCGGTGCTAATGATGAAACGACGTTGCTCACGTGCGCAAGTGAAGCGGTGCCATTCGTGCTTAGATCAACGCTATCCACCTATACAAAAGAGACATTAACGTGCCGCGCCTCACATAAACAAAGCACGACGGCACCTTGTCGTGGGTCGCACGCTCTTTGCATGTCGCAACTGCGTCATTGCTTGATGCCGTATAGCATGTCGTCGGTGGCGGAGGATTATTGAGTCGGTGAAGCCGGCTGTGACATCCGTCTATGACAAACAACAGTCAATCGGGAGCAGCAGGAGACGACGAGACGACGAACACCGTGTGGCTAACCAGGCAGTCGAGTTAAGCAATCAGAAGCACAGGTCGACGACGATCTGCCCTCCAAAGCAAAGGAGCACCGGCATCGAGTGACTCTTCGCACATTCCGTCGCGGACGCACGTTCTTCGACCGTGTTCCCGGCAGCAGTGGTTTTTAAACGCTACAGCGCTAGGACCGAAGCTTCGACGAAGCCTCCTCATCCTGGTCATTCTTCGCCATGACTTGCCGGTTGACGAAGAGCCTCTGCGCAGCCACGCTTGGGCTACTGCTGGTCGTCGCCAGGCCCGTTAACGGTATCGGGGTGCCGGCGTCCCTGGCCCAGACGCTGAGGGACACGTTCGGAGCTGGTGGTGGCAGCGCCAGCAAGGACAACCTGACCAGGCACATCGCTTCGTGGGCAAGCATGGCTGGCGGAGAGGACAGTGTCCACAAGATCGAGAAAATCCTCAACCTAATCGAACACAAGCCTGACGAAGGTAAGCGTGAGCATTGACCCCCCCCCACATACACACCACCACCACCAATTGCTACCGAGTCATTGCAACCTGACAATTTGGGTCTGCCTTATCACTGCAGACAAAAGGGCTTACTCTTGAGTTGATACATGAAATGCCAATGTTTTGAGACTCTGCCTAATGTATCAGCAGTCCTTTTTCCATACGATATTGGTTGTAATATTAAAAAGGTGATCTGGAATCGAACAAAAATTTAACAAAAAACATAGTGTGCAAGATTTTGACTCGACTAGCGGATCCTTGTTAAAGGAAACATGTCTTGAAAGAGAAGAAGAAAAAGAAAACTAACCACCGGATATATTTCTATGCCCAAGTCTTTCAACGGGCCATAATCTTGCAAGGGCATCCCCTGCGAATTCGGTCATTTCTGCAATTCAGTGGTGCGCTAAACGTTTCTTAAACTTCAAAATAGTCTCAATTTGTAAAATCCCTCAAAGTGTGTTATGAAGCACTACGTTATATTACGGAGAAGTACTTTGGCTGACTAACCCAAACCTGATCCAATATATCACTCTGTTACGTGTACTCTACAGAAATTTCATTAGACGATTCAGATTCACCGGTTTAGTTCCTTGAATACCAATTGACTACCAAAAGCTTATAGGGATTCATTTTTCTTTGTTCTCTCTAAAGTCCAGCGCTTTTCCTATTAGAGAAAAAGGGCCTTGCGAATTTGGTCCTATCATAAATACAATAAACACGACGTTTCACTGATAACAGACTTTGCTTTCCCTTCAAATTGCTCCACGTGTGCATTTTCCGAAAGCTACTGAATTATGTATTACTTTAATTGAATTTCAATTATCATATCAGGGAGGTCACGACATCTGTCCCTACTGAATCAAACCAGAGTAACATAGCAGCTTCATTATACATGTCTCCCACAGTTATCTCTCAGATTTGTGCTGGCCTGACATGGACTGCTGCTCAGACAGACATGTACTTATCCTACCTTTGCTCGAAGAGAATCATAAAGCTGCATAAAAAATAAACAACATATACGTTAAAGACAAATATACATGAAAATCATACAACATAAAAGTAAAAGCAGTCACAACAGTAGTCGGGTGTTGCAAAATACCGGTTAGAGTGTATGAAAGGATTGGAAAATTTGTCAACATTGGAATTTTAACCCTTCTTAGACCTATACAACAGGGCCATTTGTGACGCCCTTCTGTCGATGAAGTTTTTCTGGGGACGCCGATCTCCTATTCTACACATACAACCTGGAACTTTTTCTTGTTTAATGGCAACATGTGCGGCAGCCGTATGGCAGGCACCGTTGCAGCGTCCTGCCTTTTTACATGGAATAATATTCATTTATCAACCTTAGAGAAAAATAAAACGAACGACCGAAACCGGGGCTTCAACACAGTACCACATGGTTTTGAGTCTGCTCCGTTTCAACTCAGGAACCATGGTATGAAGCAGAGAAAGGTAAATCGTTTACTGCATATAATTCATGAATAAGACAATGATCGATACTCCGACGAAATCAAACCCGGCATTCCCACAGTTCGAGGCCAACCTCTTAGGCAATGTGCCACCACAGCAGACTGGTGCAATGGGAACAGCCCCACCACCCCTCCATGGCCAGATTCAAGGCTGTATTGCGTTTCCTTCGTATTGATACATTTTTAGGGGAGAACGTTAAGCAGGCCACAGCTAAATGGTATTTTTGCACCTGCACTGATATACTCGTGTCGCTTCAAAGATAAACTGCTATGACGTAAGAGTGCGTTACGAAGTAGAATCGAACAGTAATAAGAAAATAATGGAATCAAATCAAACAGAAGCGTTACGGCTCACGTCTTTAATGTCATAAAGAGAGCAAACTGGTAAATGGATGAAAGTATAACAATATGTTTCTGTCCAGGAAAACGCACCAGCATAGTGCATTGCGTTTGCAACCAATATTGACATTTAGACGCATGTCATCAGACTGCTGGTTCAGCAGAGCGGTTTCTCAACACTGTCAAACATATTTTATCCATATGCATGTTTACGTATGAAAATATGGAATGAATCATGTCTAATATGAAAAACAATATTGATGTTACACAGGGTGTAGATATTGCTGATGTGAAACCAAGAGTTCTGCAGCATAACAGAACATAAATTTAGAACAGCATATCCATATATAATTCGTCCTGAATGCTAATATTTCGCTTTATTAAACTATAATCGCATGCAAGGACAGCACAGAAGACTACTGTTGAGTGTAAAACAGTAATGCACAAGGAAAGGGCTTATCTGAGTATTGAGTGTGTCTGGTTCAGGCTACCGCTTTACGTGATAAAATTTGTTTGAAAACATATGCTGGTGAGTTTCGAGGCATACTGATCACGATTTATCTTCAGCATTTAGTCTTCTTGGAGGTAACTCTAAAAGAGAAAAAATTGTATATCAGGCATCCATCTCAATGCATCGTTTTATAACAGCATATTCAATAGCTTCACAGGCGCTAATTAAAATGCAATTTACTGAAAGGGATCACAACAGCGCACCATCGTCGCACGCTTGTCAACTTAGGATTCCACAGTCTCAACAAACGCGTATTACCTTTTCCTTCCCTATAGCAGGGGACTACATGACGGCCATCGGGTTCCTGTGATAATCATACGATTCGTGTTTTCGCTCGCGATACCTGATTGTCCTTTTCATAGCAATGGTTGTGATTTACTATGATTGGATGCATATACGTCGTAGTAACCACATTATATTTCCTATAATTCAATGGGTGAGTCTGTCTGTCAACCTCAAAGACCGTTTATATTTTACTATCGCGAAGGCAGCGGGCGCCAGACAGAGTCTGTAGATTCCCAGTCCTCTGAGAGCATATGAAGTTGGACAAAAGATAACCTGAGTCTGCAGCAGCGTTCATTCAAGCACCCACTCTCAAAGTCATGCTTAATCCTTTTCCTACTATTTCGTCAATTGGTACAGCAACTAAGATGTGTTTCGACTCTCATTTGCTAAACGCACCCAAATTATCGTAGCAGTGATCTTTCAAATTGAAGAACCAGTGGCTGTGAACCAGGACTTATTCGAAAGTCCTAACTATGTCGACAGAAAATACGATCTCCCAGAGATTCCTTTAGAAAGTTCATTAAAGTCCAAGCCTCAATACATAACTACAGCTAAGTACATGTAAGCATCTTTAGCTTCATTCTCCATGACCGTTTCTCCTTTCGGGTGGCGGAGCAGCGCGTCAGAGAGTTCTTCCAACTTTCCCGATCCTGTATCAGAGTCTGAGCTTCGGCAAAAGACAACTGCAGTTTGGAGTACACTCCTTCTATATATTTGCTCCAGGTTAATCTTGGCCGCCCCCTGGGCCTTTTGCCGGTCGGATTTGCAAGGAACAGTTACTTAGCCTTCCTTTCTGCAAGCATTCGCAACACATGCCCAAGCCATCGCAGCTGTAATTTCTCAATCTG